TACATCTGGTTCGCGCGATCATACCATTGTCCACAGGGATCTACGCGCCCCGGAAGACTCATATCTCCGCCTATCGGAACACAGACAGGAGATATGCGGTCTCAAGTGGAACTCGGAAGGGACGCAGCTAGCTTCTGGCGGGAACGACAACAAGCTCCTCGTCTGGGATGCAACTTGGATGGGAGGGTGCGGTCGTGGGGCGGGCAGGAATGCGATACGGACACCTCGGGATGGAGCGAGCTCCGACCTGGACGCCCAACCGCTTTGGAGGTTCCATGAGCATCAGGCGGCTGTCAAGGCTCTTGCTTGGAGTCCTCACACCAGTGGCCTATTAGTTAGCGGCGGTGGCACGCAGGATAAGACTATTCGCACTTGGAATACAGCGAATGGGCAGCTGGTCAATTGGCTCGATACCGGCAGCCAGGTTCGTCGTCTTTGACCGGGCGAACAGTTTTTTTTTTGAAGCTTGAACTGACGAGATTTCGCATGTACGCCAGATATGCAATCTCACATGGTCAAAAACAACGAACGAGATCGTCTCTACACATGGGTATTCGTCCACCAAAGCGCAGCACCAAGTGAGTAAGGGATAAGCTTATGTTTTGAGCATCCTGGTCTAACACGTCTCTGCTAGGTATGCATATGGCGCTATCCCTCGATGGACACCACAGCGACCCTCTCTGGCCATACATGTCGTGTCTTGTACCTCGCGATGTCTCCCGACGGTGAAACCATTGTCACCGGTGCTGGTGACGAAACTCTTCGCTTCTGGCACGCTTTCCCAAAGATGAAGGCCACTGACAAGCGTAACGGCATTGTGGACTTTCTCGGGCGTGATGAGGTCATCCGCTAGATGGAACCTGCCGACTTCAACGTTAGGTTGTTCGTGTGGGCCTGCTATATTTTCACCACTTGGATTTCTCCCATTTCATCGCTTTTTTTTGTTTGTTTTCTGTTCATTGTTTGACCTTGACATGTCTTCCTTTCTAAGCATATTCGCAATGTACTGCCCTATTGGGCCTAAATGATCCTGTCTATGTTGCTAGACGTAAACCTGGCACAAATTGCTGTAGTCTCCTGTATGGCGCAGTGGTAGCGCGTCCCACTTGTATGCATACATGGGGAGGTCCGTTGTTCAACCCAGCGTGCAGGAATTTCTTTTTGTAGTTCATCCTCGAGAAGTCTCTTACATCATAAATGCCACGCTGTGGGTCCTGAACAGGAGGCATCTTGGTGGAGTGGTTAACCCGAGAGATTAGGACCCATTGGACCGGGTATCTCTTCAGGTTTCCGGGCACAAGTTTGAATCTTGTAGATGTGGGTGTTTTATATTAGATTTTTATTATTCTTGATTTCTAGGATAATTTATTTTGCCAAATACACAGTCTTCATGGTGTGGTTTTTGAGCAAAGAGCAAGCCTGAGCAAGGGTGGTTAGTAGTATATGGAGGTAGAAGGTGTAGTGACCTCTATTGTAGACGAGAGTAGATAGTGTTGGAGACGTGGGAATGTGGAAACTTGAAGACGTACAAGTTACAACATCAGAGGTTCTGGGTACAAAGGTTCAGGGTACAGTGTGATATGGACGAGGGACAGGGGACACGGTGTGCAGACAGCGCACAATGAATTTGGCAGAGAGAATAGAACTCTTATTCCAGAGGGAAGAACAAGAGGCGAAGTGAGGAACAATCCTCCTCACTTCCTAGCTACTTATATCCTATCTACAAGTGAGGCAGTGTTCGTTTATAGTTAAAGAACAAAGGAGAACATTCTAGAGAGGCTGCACAACAACTGAGTCAGTTGCACCACCTGTACAATCGGAACATTGAGTGAACCATGAGAACCGGAGAAGTGACAATAGAAGGAGAGACTGTGGGAACAGAGATGTGATCATAAAGAAAGAGACTGTGGGACAATAGGGTTCAATAATGTACTTAGCGTATCTGTCTTGATGGTGGTCATGACAGAAGGAAAATATTGTGCTGTCAGGATCAGGCACTGGGAAACCATAGGACAACTTGCTAGACAACTTGGAAGGAAGCAAAGACAACAATGAGCACTAAGAGCTTGATGAAGAGGACAATGATAAGATTGAGGGAGATGATAAGGAGCACTAGGAGTGTCACAAAGAGGGCTGAAGGACTGCTGGATGACAATCACAAGACGAGTGTCACAACCACTGTTGAAACAGTTCACGCCAAGTACATTTGAACACTACTATCCCACGGTTTCTTTTGTTATTATTACATCTCTATTTCTCATGGCCTTTTCTTTATGATCACAACTCCATTCCCACAGTCTCATCCTTTATCACACCTCCATTCTCATGGTTCATTCTATGTTTTGAAGGCTATGCGTTACATCACTGACTCAGTTGTGTTACTGAGCTTCCAGGATATTCACTGATGTTCTATGTATCGGTCATTGAACACTGCCTCCTTGTAAAATAGTATAAGTAGCTAGGAAGTGAGGAGGTATGTTCCTCACTTCACCTCCTATTCTCATCCCTCTGAAATTAACTCTTATACTCTCATACCTCCACTATGCACTGTCTGCACAACTATTCCCTTGTCTCTCCTCCTACATCCTCTGATCCCCAAACCCTGACTCAGTACCCCAAACCCTTGCCCTTACAACTTGTATGTCTGATTCTAAAGGCTTCCCATATTCTCAACTACTATCTACCTTGAGTCTGACAGAGGTTGCTACAACAAGAGGTAGTGCTAGAAGCTTAAGGAGATGAGGCAATGATAATGAATATGAGACACCAAGGAGCACTAGGAGCTCAACAGTGATGAGTGGTTAGGAGTAGGAGGGAGTATGAGAGGGTGTCATAAGTAGGCTGAAGGAACCACTGGACAACAACAAGGAAGGTGATAGTGAGCGCTAGGAGCTCAATGAGGAGGACAACAATGTATAAGAGACTACAAAGAGCACTAGAAGCTCAATGTAGGTAAGTGGGGAGAGAGGAGGAGGAGGAGGAGGAGAAGGAGTACAGTAGAGGAGGAGTGTCATGAGTGGAGCTGACAAACCACTGGATGACAACTTGGTTAATATGGGCAAGCACTAAGAGCTCAAGGAAGAGGACAAGAGATGTATGAGAGAATACAAAGAGCACTAGGAGCTCAGTGTATGTAAGTGGAGAGGAGAGGAGAGGAGAATAGAAGGGAAGAGGGAATACAAGATGTTGTGTGAGAAGTAAGTCCTCTATGCCTACTTGTCACGATGAGAGATCTGAGGAGCTGCTGGATGACAATGAGCACTAGGAGCTCAAGGGATAGGACAATGTAGATGAATAAGAGACGACGAGGAGCACTAGAAGCTCAATGACGATAAGTGGAGTGGTAGGAGAGGAGTACAGTAGAAGAGAGAATACAAGACGTTGCGTGAGGAATAAGTCCTCTACGCCTACTAGTATATATAGGAGTACAGAAGTGGAGGCTTACAAACAGAACACGAGTTCACTGTGCAGCGGTGTGGGAGAACATGAGGAGAGAAGTGCGGGGCAGTGACAGGTGACCTCCTAAGCGAGAGAAGAGAAGAATAGTTAAGTGAGAGAAGGCTGATTAAGCAGGACACATGATTAGAAAGAGTCCAAGGTAAAACCGAGAATAGTCCGAAGTAATGCTGATGACCGCGTCGTGGGAAAGTAGATTGTGACCATATAGGGAGAGCCCATGTTCGATTGGACTTGGGCAGGATGAAGTCATGACACTACTAGTATATATAGGGTTACAGGAGTGGAGGGTTACAAAGATAACATGAGTGCACTGCATGGCAGTGTGAGAGAACATGAGGTTGAGAAGTGCAGGGCAGTAACAAGTGATATCTAGTGTACCCTTAGCTCTGAATGCTTGGGCCACAGTCTCTGTCCCATTCTGCAAGATATTTGCCAGAGCACTATCATTGGATCACCCAGTCTGTAGATCCCATTTCAGACCATTAAATGTCCATGTGCTTGGTGGGGCAGCACTAAACCTGGAGGCTAAACCTCACACAGTTCTAGTTGTGGGGCTATTGAACACACCACCTACTAAGTTAGACTGTATGAAGGCAGCTGGTTGGACATCTGCTCCCTTGGGAGACATGGCAGTGGCTGCAAGGCAGGGCCCTTGGAATTGTTGATGAAATTTGGTGGTTGTGATTGAATCCCATAGGGTGTCAGGAAAAATCTTCAGCATCAGGTCTTCAGTCCATGCTGCATTGGGAGCAGATATTATCACATGCCAGCAGTAGAGTAAATTGAATATGACAGACACCACATTACCTAGAAAAGAGCATAGACAATCCACTTAAAGGGTAAAAAAGGGGACATCTGCTTCATGTAAGATTAGTTCTTCAGGGACTAATCTAAGTTTTCACTAAGGTGATGCCTAGGGGTACTCTCTTGCTAAGAACTGGCTCTGTATGGTTTGAAGAACTATTATACCAAGTAATTGCAATGGGGAGCCTCCTACTGAGAGTCCCCTCCTATTTATACATGAATATTTACTAATGACATCATGCTATGATCATGGCTTCATAGGAGGTGGTTTGTAGAGCAAGTGGTGCTCAGATAACTCCTCTGGTGGAACCATGCTTCTAAATGACTGAAATGCTGACTGGTTCCTTCTGGAATATTCTATGAATGATTAGCTCCACTCTTGATGTCATAAGTTGGACCCAAGCCTATAATGATATCTTGATGAGATGGGCCTTTTGACAGCATCCCAATTAGATACAAATAGGAACAAGAATAGAGTAGATGGGTGTGCTATATCAAATATCACATTGTCTTGACTTATGAGTGCTGCTAAGTCATTAATCAGGGGAGGATTGTGATAGGTTCCTGTCAGGTAGTTTGCCTTAGCACCTAGTTTTGCCCAGCTTTGCCCACTATAGCATTCGAACAATAGACATTCCCATGGAAGGAAGGTATCTGCACAGCAATGTAAAACAGTTCACTTTAGCACTCAGTCTAGCACTTGAACAATAGATATTCCCACAGTTGGGAAGCAACTGCATTACTCCTTGCAGAAAGGAGATAATTCATGATATCATTATAGACTTAGGTCTAATTCATGACATCATAAATGGAGCTAGATATTTGTAGAACATTCTAAAAGGAATCAGTCAGCATTCCAGTCACTTAAAAGCATGGCTCCATCAAAGGAGGTAGTCGAGCACCCCTTGCTCCATAAATCACCTCCTTTAAAGCTATGATGGTACCATGACATCATTCATAGATATTCATGTATAAATAGGAGGGGACTCTCAGTAGGAGGCTCCCCATTGCAATCATCTTATATAACAAGTTCTTCAATTCCAAGCCAGCCCTCAGCCTTTAGCTTATATTCATCAGCTCTATCCCAGTCCTCAAGCAGTGAGTACCCCTAAGTAATACCTTAATAAAACTTTAAATCAATCCAAGAAAACCTAATCTTACAATCCCCTATTGATTGATCTGTAGCAGCTTTGTTGTGATATAGCTGTTAATTTCAACAGATGAGCTTATTCCATGTCAGGCTTGTAACGATGCAGCTTCTTTTACTTGTAGTTTCATGAAAAGATGATCAACAAGGCCAGAGTCAAGGAAGGCATCAACAACAGCTGGTTATCTGCAAACATATCCTCAAACAGCACTCCTTGTCTATCTAACACCCTCACACATTTCTGGGCTGCTCCTGAGTCACCATACAATGGGGAGAGATCAAGATAGGATGAGGTATTATTGATAGACACCATACATTTGTCAGTCTTGAATTGTGCCCTGGATGTCATCAATCAGCTTATAAACAACTCCATGATCTGCTGGTTTGTTCAAGGCTGTTGGAGCCACCTCATTATCTGTTAGACCATCCAGGGCCTTTGGAAGTAATTCAGTTGAGAGATGTAATAAGTCTGAAGCATTTTTTATCTTATTCCAGAATGCAGATGGGGCTTGATGCAGTTGTGACATGGATAGGTGAGTTGTTGGACTCAAGTGATAGGAGCTAAGCAGCAGAGTAAGGAGCCAAGCTTAGGAGGAACAATGTGTAGCATTCCAGTGATGGTACCTATTTCAATGGGCATGGTTGAGCACAATCCTGTATATCCTTCAGAGCATAGTGTGCTCAAGAGGATTAAGCATCTTGGGTAGCTGATGCTGATTATTCAGGGTCTATTTGTGTGCAGTCTAAGGCCACCAGAAGTTAATGACTTATTAGGCCACTGAAGAAGACCCTAGACAATGACTTGCACTGAATACAATGATGCAGCTCTGATAATATGCTTTGCTTATGAATATAAGGTGCCACTAGTTCCACTCATGTGCTTCTTGACCATGTCTGTGACTGCAAAAATA